CCCACCCCGCGACCCACCCGCGACCCACCCGCGACCCAACCCGCCACCCACCCGCGACCCACCCCGCGACCGCGACCCGCCCGCGACCCACCCCGCGACCCACCCGCGACCCACCCGCGACCCACCCGCGACCCACCCCGCGACCCACCCACGACCCACCCCGCGCCCCACCTGCGACCCACCCGCGACCGATCCACACTGGTTTGAAGAAAAAATCGTCGCCTGCAGCTGGCTCTTTGTATGATTTGTGAAACTTTGGCGCCTGTGGCGGGCTTCTCTAGAGTCTCGCAGACTGCCGACGTCCCCACCGCCCTCTCACTCGTATCCGCATTTGCGGGGTGCTACGTATGTAGGGATGGCGGGTGGGAGTGAGCTAGACGGCTTGCGGGCGGATGGGTGTCTTGATCACTGTTCCCCATGAATAAACACCCCCTCCCCCACCCGACCGGCAGCCAACCCGGAACCATGCGCACACCATGAGGGCCCCCCTCCCACCATCCCTGTCAAAAAACAATACAACACGCACCTGTTTCCAAATTCGGAGCATGCGCAACCAACCCGATGCGCCCCCCCACACCATCCCTGTCGAAAACAATAATACACAGTACACTTTGAGGCAAAGTCTGGAGTCACGTTCGTGAGGCCCGCGGGCACGTGGTGTTGTTTTTCGACAGCATATTGCCTGCTGCGCGCAGGCCTACCATCCCCGACAAACACACAATACGAACTGCACCTCGCGGCTACATGTGGATAGTGCGCGGCCACCCCGCGATCATTGTCGAGTGGTTTTTGTCAGGGACGGCGGGGGTGGTGGCGTATGGCCTGCCGTGCGCAGGCCCGCCAGACACAATGATGGGCATTTGTTTTCGACAGAATTGTGAAGGGGCCCCAGGACACACAAATACATACGCACAAATAAAAAGATTCCCCATATTTTCATATTTTTTTTTGGGGGGGGGGTTTGTCTTCCCCCCCACTTCCCATATTTTCACATCTTTTCTGGGAAATCGACGATCAATTGTGTCTGTGTGTTTTCCCCTCCTGATATTGGTGGGGGCCGACATGATTCCCGACGTATGTTGTCACGTGCGCAGGCGCACCTGACACACCCTGCACGCGCCCCACGCGTGGCGCACCTGGCGCAGGTGGAGGGTGCATCTGGCGCACGAGGCGTGCCTGGCACGCTCGGGCCCCAGGGGTGGCGTAGCGCGCCTGGCACGTGTGGCGCACCTCGCACCAGCGTCGCGCACATGGGCTCGGTGTTGGTTCCCAGTAGCTGTCCATCAAAAGACGCCCGCGGAACATGCTGAGGCTCGGGTGTTACTCATGAGTTGGGAGGGCGGGTCGGAGTGAGCTAGACGGCTTGCTATCTGGAGGGTTTCTTGACCCCTCCCCGTACCCCCTCCCCTGGACCTGGACGGGGGGGGGCCGCGACGCGTTGGAGCGTCCAAGATGGCCCAAGATGGCTCCAAGAGCGCCTCGGAGATCCCAAGACGACCTCCAAAATGGCTCAAGATAGCGCGAGATGCCTCAAGATGGCACCCAATATGCTCCAAGAGGCCCCAAGATCGTCCCAAGACGGCTCCAAGCGGCCAAAGAGCTCCCCAAGGACGCCCCGAAGAGGCCAACATCCTTCCAAAACCTAGGGGGAATCATTGTTTTTTGCTTTCTCGCCTTTTCGCTTCCGATGGCCATCCGAGGCCTCAAGATGGCTCCAATGTGGTCCCAAGAGAGGCTCAAGAGAGCTCCAAATCGGCCCCAAGAGCGCCCAAGAGTGCTCCAAGACCGCCTCAAGAGGAGCCCAAGAGGCGATTCCTGGGGCTCCCGAGGGGGGAGGCCAGTCGAAGCTCCTCTCTTTTTTGATCGATGTTCTCCAAGGTGGCCCCAAGAGCGCCCCTGAAGGCTCCCAAGAGCGCCTAAGAGGAACCCAAGAAGCGCCCCCAATACCTCAAGAGGCGCCCAAGAGGCCTCCAAGAGGCTCCCAAGAGACCCCCAAGCGGCCCCAAGAGGCTCCCCGAGGCACCCGAGACGCTCCAAGAGGCCCCCGGGACCGTCACGAGGCCCCCAAGAAGCAAGAGAGGCCCAAGAAAGCCCCAGTACGGCCCCCAAAGCGCCCAAGAGTGTCCCAAGAGCGCTTCAAGAGGGACACTTCCTCTGCGTGCTGTCCACTTCCCTGATCGAGGCAACTCCTCTGGGCCTCGTCTCTGGATGGGCTGGTGGTGATGACGATGATGATGGCGGTGATGGTGATGGTGATGCTGCTGATGCTGCTGATGCTGCTGCTGATGATGATGATGCTGATGGTGATGGTGATGGTGATGATGATGATGATGATGATGATGATGATGATGATGATGATGATGATGATGATGATGATGATGATGATGCTGATAATGATGCTGATGATGCTATGATGTGATGCTGTTGATGATGATGATGTTGATGAAATGATGTTGTTGATGTTGATGCTGATGATGTTGATGATGATGTTGCTGCTGATGATGATGATGATGATGATGTTGATGATGGTCAACACATCATCATCACCATCACCATCACCATCATCATGGTGACGCAAAGTGTCCAACATTCCCCGGCCTGCTCGTGAAAGCCACGTTGTGCTGCGTCGAGCTGCGCGTGCCGGGCGGCAGACCCTCCGAGATCCGCGCGGCAGGTGCCCACGAGTGGCCACGCTGTGCTGCATCGCCCTCCTCCTCCTCCTCCTCCTCCTCCTCCTCCTCCTCCTCCTCCTCTCCTCCTCCTCCCTCCTCCTCCCTCCTCGTCCTCCCTCCTCCTCCTCCTCCTCCTCCTCCTCCTCCTCCTCCTCCTCCTCCTCCCTCCTCCCTCCTCCCTCCTCCCTCCTCCCCTCCTCCTCCTCCTCCCTTGACTGCTGGGTCCTGGCAAGGCGTGCGCCCGTCGTTCGGCCTCGCGCCCTCGCCCGAGAGCGAGCCAAAACGCCGGATCCGACGTGTTCCGTCGTGGCTCGCCTGCGGCTCCCATACTACCGCTTTGTCTCGCACGTTGCACAGTGGAGCCCCGACCACAAGACACCTTCCACAAGAAGCCCAACCCTGAGACCTCAGGGCCGTCCGTGGACGTTTGGCGTGGGAGCGTCGCGCTCTCCACAGCAGAAACATCGAGAACGAAGAAACCCAGGGCACCCTGGAGGCGAGCATTGCGTTTCTTGTCATGAGCCTCCACTGTATGCCTCGTGCACTGCTGCGGCAAACCATCGCGTTTTCCTATGCCGCTGTATGATCCACCAACCCTTTACTCCGACGCGTCCGCCGTCGCGATTTGTTGGAGACACGGGCCCCTGACCTATCGACCATTTCCCAGGACGGGTTTTAAACTCTGCATTGTTGTTTGATTGTCCCGAGGCCTGGCAAGGGCCCCGAAGGCCCGAAAACGAAGAACAAACTCCGTCGCGATTTGTTCGAGACGCTGGATGCCTGGGTATCCCTAATTCCTCAGCGGTCTGTTCCGTGCGTGGCTAGTTTGTTCCACTCATCCCAAGGCTCAAGGCTCATTGGCGTAGTGCGTGATACGTCGGCGCGGCGGACCCGCAACCAAAAAATAATGCTGCACATCCGTATACGTTAATTGCGGAACGCGTCATGACATCTAATACGATGATCGTCGTCGGTGAGTTTCCTGAATTCGCCGTCGGGGAAACCAATGCTTGCTTTTCTCATCCGCGCTTTTGCCAACTGGGCTTAAAAGACTGGATAATGCTCTCAGACGCAAGAGAGAGTATGGCGATAGGGGCGAACTTCTGAGAAGGCCCCTCGTTTGTTTTGAAGGTGCAAGGAATATAGACTGAAACGCTTTTCCTGCTCAGGCCCCCTTGCCTTCTTAGAGTATCACCACCCCTCATCCTAGACCCGATTCTGTGTGGAACGATTTCTGTCAAAACCAATGTGTAGAGATTCACAGCGGTAGCTAACAACTATAGGCGGCGTGCCTGGGGGGAAGTGAGAAGGGGCGGATCTTCTCAGAAGGCTTGGTAGTTTCCTGGCCTTCTGAAAAATTGTCTAAGCCTTCTCCGAGGACGCAAACCACTTCGCGGAAGGTGCGAGGGCTTCTGAGAAGTTCCGCCGTCTTCTGAAAAGGCCTTCTCCCTCTCATTTCCCCCCTCGCTCGCCGCCGAAATTATCTGCATCCCGGGTCTACGTCGGCGCAAGGGATCGCAAGCGCAAGGACAGATGGGTAGGGTTAGGTCGGGCATGCCCCCCGTATAGATTTTGGGCGACAGATAAGACATACTCAAACATATTAAAGAATAGTCAGAACATTGTCCCTGGACTATTTTTCTAATATGTTTGGTTCTTCCTCCTGTTGAGGGACGGGCCCGATGTAGGGGCAGGGGAAAGGCGAGGCAAGCGGATGCTGAGCGGAAGGCTGATGTTGCCCCAGGCCCCCCGTCGCCGCCACCGCGGCCCCCCGCGCCTTTCGCCGTGCTCGTCGTCGCGGCCAGGGGCCGCCGCAGTCGGCGGAGTCGTCCCGGGGTCGTCGTCGGCATGGCCGTCGCCTGCAGCTCCTCCCGTGACCGCTCGTGCTGCCCGTCGACCCCCTCAAACCCGTTTTAGTCGGGCGTTGGCAGAACCGGGTTTAGTTGGGCCTGGTTTAGTGATGTGTACTGGGGGACGCCCCCCCGCCCTGTTCCAATAACCGGAACTGCCGTCACCCGAGAAAACACCAGCTACAGCAAACCTGGTTTAGCGATTCTGGCCAATTCAAGGGCTCCAGGTCCCTACCACTAACCAGGTCCCCTTACCTGGGGTCCTGGCCATACACGATTTAAGTCGGGCATGACCCCCTACGGGCGGACGTTGGGAGAACAAAGGAAAATAGTAGAACAAATGCTCCCACATAGCGAGAAGTAGAAGAAAAAACCTCCCCAGAATATTTCTTGACCCTTTTCGACTGTTCCTCCTGTGAAGGGACACGCCCGACTGAACGCTCGTGCTGCCCACCGACCCCCTCAAACCCGTTGCGTCCTGCAGGTACAGCTTCTTGTCCAGTGTGGCTGCAAGGAACCTGCAGCGCGGCCCGGCGCACTGCGGGGATCCCCTCCCCGCCGAGCCCCGGAGCGCACGATCGAATCCCAACGGAGCATCCGGTGATCTTCATCCTTCCGCTCCGGCAATTCTCATGCCTCGTTATCTCAACCCTTCTGTGCAAATTCACGTGTTCGATCCGCCGGCAGCCACCGCACACCGGCGCCACCGCGGCTCACGTGGAGTCGCGCCAGGGAGGGCTGCAAGGCAGAAGACACGCTGATGTCGCCTTCGCTTGTCCTTCTCAGCCGCGGCCACACATCTGCGTGTGCGGTACTGGTGAAGCAGTGGAGGTTGCGACTGAACCCCCTCACCCACCACTCTCCTGGTTCTTCGTATCCTCCTGTCAAGCTTTCCACATCCCCCTTCCATGGCAACAAAACGCGCAACCTCCTCCTAAACCAAAAACTGCGGCACATTCTCCGTAGCCGCAGGCATCCTAGCAGCCCTCTGGGCGCAAGTGGTTTGGCGGATTGGCTCTCCCCAAACACCCCCCTGTTTCCGTTAGGGGCTCCCCTCGCAGCCTAGCCACGCGAAGATGGCGTCTGAATATGTTTCGGGATGGTTGTGTAGTTGATTCGCGAAGCCTGCTAGAAGCCCCTTCTGACCACGCCCGCCTCCTCGCGGCCTCTTGCGTGCCCTCCTGGGGCCCTCTCGTGATGGAGGCCAGGCTGGACTGCCTTGGCGCCTGAGACGTCCACGGGACTATCCTCGCCTACTCGCAAGAGTGACCCGGGGTAAGAGTGACCTTCGGTGCGCGGCTTTTTGGGGCCGCGGGGCGACCAAACACAGGCGCGCAAGACGCTACTATCGCATCGCGTTCGACGATCGGGGGACCCCAATGGGCCCGCACCAAAGGTCACTCCGGCGAAGGGTCACTCTTACGTGTGGTCGATCTCCTGGGCACTGATTGCTGGCCGTCTTCGCGGAACAGCTGGACGGCGCGCGGAGGCCACCCGAGACCGCCGTGGAGCCAGGGCACGCCCGCCTCCTGGCGCAAGGGGCCCAGCGGGTGATGCGCACTGTGAGGTGAAGCCCTACGACGCATCGGCGCGCGCGAAATAATGGGGGGCGGCAGAAATGGCGGCGGGGGGGGAAAGAAGTTGTCCAATTTCGAGCCCGGGGGCCCTATAGGGTACAGGGCCCCCTTCAGAAGCCCTGAAGGGCTCCTTTTCTGCAGCCCTCGCTGCCCCCCACTGCGCCCCCCAAGAAGTCGGGCATGTCTGAGATTCGGCGGCTCTGGAGGACGTCTCGGGCACCGAGGCCTTCCGAAGGCGCGCTTGGGGGAAGCTCGGAGAGCGTCGCAACACGATCTGGTGCTCTCGTGCGACAAGTTTGTGTCGTGTCGATCCTGGCGTTGCTTCCTGACACCGTGGGGATCGTTCAAGCTTGCACGATCGGCCGCTACGTGAACGCCGGACCGCTCAACGACGGGCCGATTCCGGGCCACGGGCGGCGTCCAACCTGACAACACGCAAGCGCTGGGATCGCCTGCGGTCGGCACGACGCGAACCTGCCGTACTATCCGATCTCGGTGGGTCCGGTGGTCCTTCCTGGTCCTCCCTGGTGGGCCCGAAAGCCTTCCTGGTTGTCTCCTCCTCCTCCTCCTCCTCCTCCTCCTCCTCATCCTCCCCGCCCGAAGGCCTCCCTTGGGGTCCGTGCCCTCCAGGCGCGGGCCGTCGACGTCCAAGAGGGTCCGGGATGGCCTGCGGGTGGCCTCCGGGTAGCTCGAGATGACCTCCAAGGCTGCCCAGAGCTGGCCCAAAACGGGCCCTCCGAACATAAAAAAAAAACGACCGGCTCGTGCAGGCGTCTGCTGTTTCACCTTCGTCCTGGCTCCCTGGACTACGCGAGGCAAACCAAAATGCCATTCCACACGGAGATGAGACGGTGCGTCTCAATGTTCAAACGCGACCCTGTCTGAATGTTTCTTGATGGGTGGGACTGACTGTGAGCGAACCTCAGGAGCCGCCGACTGCTGGTATTGAGCTTGCGCGCGAGCACCTGGATGTGAGTGGGTCTAGGTCCAGGTGCGAACGAGCCTGAGCATGCGTGGTGAGGAAGGCGGACCAAGCAGATTGGGTTCGGGCCCTCCTAGAGAATAACAGTACGCAGACGAAACAGACACATCGATTCTTGAAGTAGGAAGGCGCTTGAAGTATGTTGAGATTCGGGAATCCAGAAATACAGTCGGACCTAGGCCATAATAACATCCCTCAAGAACACGAGACACTCCGCCGGCCAAAACGCACCGAACATCCAAGGGCACCCTCCCCCAGGATTCACAAGAACATCCAACACACACGAATAACACTAGAGCACCCTCCCCGAACCAACCTCGATCTTTGAGGGGCAACGATAAAGGGGGGACTGGCACAGGGGGGGATACATCGACCTGGAATCGGCGATACATCGCCGATAGATCCGCGATAGGCCCCCGATAGCGAATCAGCACCTTCCTGGGCAGGCTGGGGCCATCGGGCCCCTATTGGCGATCCATGGGCGATTGATGGTCGATGCATCCCCCCCTATGCCTACCGCCAGGGGGCCCGGCGCCGGTCCAAGAACTCCGCGCGGAGCTTCAACGGCTGATGGCTGCGACGCTGCTTCTTCCTCTTCTTCTTCTTGTTCTTCTTCTTCGATCTGAGCCTCCCGTCCATCCCAGCGACGCCGCAGCCCAGGCCATCGCCTCCCCTCACCCCGCCATGGCGGCGTGCACAGGGGTGGAGGCGGAGGGGGGAAGGCTCATCTGATACCTCGATCTTATAATTACCTTTTGGGCCATGACTCGGCTCTCCCGCGGCCGTTCGGGACGATCTGGGCATCCCCGGAACGCCCTCGACGAGGCGCAGCCGCTGCAGGGCGCCCCGAGGCAGGAACGCCGACGAGAACCGACGACATCGCCCGAAGGCCTCGCTGAGCCTATCCCCCCCGATCGCTGCCCCTGAATCCTTGCACCTCGGTCCGACTGCACTTTCGACGACCGACGGGCATGCACGGCTCCCACGGCTTCCTGCCGCCGCAGCCCTGGACTGGCCATCGCTCGGACGTCCATTTCCTGTGTTTTTTTCGGTTTCGTGCGTGGTTTTTTCGCGAAATGATCAAGGATGCTCCTCGATGGTCCTCGCCGAAGGAAACATGCACACGTCCGAGCGATGCCGAGTGGAGGGTGGCCGGCCGCCCGCCGCCCGCCGCGGGGGGGGACGCGGCTGGCGGCGGGGGGGGCACTCGGTGTAGTCGATCACGCCGCTGCCGTCGGCGTCCACGTCCTCGCCCCGCCCAGGCACGCGCGCCCCGGGGGTCGGGCGGTGGCGGAGCGTCCTGGCTCGCCGGCAGGCCCACCGAGGAGTGCTCTGGGGGCCTGCTGTGGTCTGCACGGACAGTGTTCTGAGGCCCTGTCTGGCTGGGGCTGCCTCGTTCAACCACGTCGGCTTCCTGTTCCAAGTACGCTGTTTCTTCTTCGGGGGGGTGAAGAACAAACGCCATAAACATACATAAGCTTTCGGCGCTCCCCGCGGATTTCTGGGATCCGCGCTGGGCCCCCTCGGCGCCGCCCCTGGCGCGGATTCGCCTCTGGCGCCGCCCCCGGCGCGCGGAGCGCGCCAGAGGGGGGGGGCCCAGCGCGGATCCAAGAAATCCGCGCAGGGCGCCAAACCTTTATGTTTATAGTGTTTTCTGATCATGGTCAACATCATCATCTTCATCTTCATCTTCATCATCATCATCATCATCATCATCATCATCATCATCATCATCATCATCATCATCATCATCATCATCACCATCACCATCATCATCATCATCATCACCATCACCATCACCATCACCATCACCACCACCACCACCACCACCACCACCACCACCACCACCACCACCACCTCCACCACCACCTCCACCACCACCACCACCACCACCACCCCTCCTCCTCCTCCTCATCATCAGCAGCATCAGCATCAGCATCAGCATCAGCATCAGCATCAGCATCAGCATCAGCATCAGCAACAGCATCAGCATCAGCATCAGCATCACCATCAGCATCACCACCATCATCATCATCACCATCACCATCACCATCACCATCACCATCATCATGATCATGATCATGATCATGATCATGATGATCATCCTCCTCCACATCATCACCTTCATCACCACCCTCTCTCTCGTCGACATTTCCCTTCACCGCCTCACTCTCCTCTTCCTCCTCCTCCTCCTCCTCCTCATCCTCCCCCATCTTCTTCATGGCCATATTGTTCCTCCTTTTCCTCGCCTTCCTCATCATCAGTAAATCTTCCCTTCCACACCCAATATTCTAGCTCTTCCAACTTCCTCCCTTTTTCCTTTCCCTCCTCTATCTCCCCCCCTCCCCCCCCACCCGCCTAGCCATGCGCCCCGCTCGCAGTCCTTGTTTGCCGCCCAGAGCCCCGAGGAGGTCCCCGGAGGCTGAAGAAGGAATAGAAACTCCTCCTCTTCTTCCTCCTCCTCCTCCTCCTCCTCCTCCTCCTCCTCCTCTCCTCCTCCTCCTCCTCCTCTCTCCCCTCCTCCTCCTCCCCCTCTCCTCCTCCTCCTCCTCGCTCCTCCTCCTCCTCCTCCCCTCCTCTCCTCCTCCACTCATCCTCCTCCTCCTCCTCCTCCTCCCTCCTCATCCTCCTCCTCCTCCTTCCTCCTCCCCCTCCCCCCCTCCCCCTCCTCCTCCTCCTCCATCCTCCTACCTCCTCCTCCTCCTCCTCCTCCTCCTCCTCCTCCTCCTCGTTTTCTTTATATGATTATGTTCACGAGCCTCGATCCTCCGTTCACGACCCACTCCTTGTGTGAGTGGGGGGCTGACCGGAGGGCCGATCCCCACCCGAGTATTCCGTCGGTGTGAGCGGTGACGATGAAGGCAGGACGGTGATGAAGGTCTTACCCTTCCCGACAAGTCTGAAGGGGCCCTGGGACACACAAATAAATACACACACAAACAAAACAGATTCCCCATATTTTCCCAATATTTTCTGGGTTTCTGTCTTCCCCCCCACTTCCCATATTTTCCCATATTTTCTGGGGAATTGACGATTCACTGTGTCTGTGTTTTTTCCCCTCCTGAAAATCTTCCAGTCAACGAGGCATGTACCTGCCCTGAGTGCGCCTTGCGAGCCGAAGGGGGCAGCGGCATGGTAGAGAGGAGGAATGGCACGGGAGTCATTCACACTCCTCGACCTTCTCTCTCTCCCGACCCAGGCCCCCCATCCAGTGCGATCGTTAGCGCTACCCAGGGGAAGGGAGGGGGGGGGGGTTGGCCTGGGTAACGAGCGCTGCCCTAGGGAGGAACAAAAAGACGCTCACGAGTAGGTCCCCGGAGGCTGACGAAGGAGCAGGGCTCCGCGCACCCCGATCCTCGATCCGCGCCCCCCCCACCCCCCCTCGACCCTCCCCCTCACCCAGACCCTGGGCCAGCGGTCTCCTCCAGGATGGCCTGGAGGTCGGCGGGGATGTCCTTGAGGCCGCACTTGGCCAGCCCGTCCTCGGGGGGCGGGGGCCACGAAATCATCAGGCGTGCCGATGACATTGGCAGGGAGGAGGGAGGAGGGAGGACGACGACGGCGACGGCGACGACGACGAGGGAGGAGGGAGGACGGCGACGACGCGAACGACGAAGGCGGGAGGGAGGACGGCGACGCCGACGACGACAACGACGAGGGAGGAGGGAAGACGACGACGACGACGACGACGAAATAGGATTAAGTCGGGCGTGTCCCCGTACAGGGGGATTTTCGACGAGAAATAGTAAGTACTCCAACAATGCTCCAAAAGGGTCAAAAATACCACCAAACAAGTAGCCCCCCAGACTATTTATTGTTTTAATCATTGTTTGAATCTTCCCATCTTTTTTCACTATTTTTGCCTATGTGTTGATCACTTTTTTTGCCAGGCCCGACTCAAAAAATTAGGAGGGGCGACGCCGACAACGCCCGGGGATGGACAGACCTCCCTTTAGTAAAACGTGGTTCAGTGAAAACGACCTCGGGCCCAAAACCCCCTCCCCCTCCTCCTCCTCCTCCTCTCCTCCTCCTCCTCCTCCTCCTCCTCCTCCTCTCCTCCTCCTCCTCCTCCTCCTCCTCCTCCTCCCTCCTCCTCCCTCCTCTCCTCCGCCTCCTCGCCCTCCCCTCCCCCTCCTCTCCTCCTCCTCCTCCTCCTCCTCCTCCTCCTCCTCCTCCTCTCCTTCCTCCTGCTCGTCCCCCTCCTCCTCCTCCTCCTCCTCTGCCTCCTCCTCCTCCTCCTTCCCCTTCCTCCTTCCCCCTCCTCCTCCTCCTCCTCCTCCTCCTCCTCCTCCTCCTCCTCCTCCTCCTCCTCCTCCTCCTCCTCCTCACACACTTCCTCCACCTACCCTGTAGACAAACCTCCCTTTAGTAAACCTCCCCTTAGTGCAAACGGCCTGGGACCGAAACCGACGGATCTGGGCCCGCAGAAATGACGGCCGCGAGGCCCTCTGGCGAGCCGAGAACGGCCGATTCACTAATCGACGTGTCAGGATAGGAGGACTATCAACCTCCGATGTGGGACGCGGTCGGGCGTGTCCCCCTTACAGGCGGATTTTGGACGACACACAAAAGATACTGCGAACATATACACGACAACATACCAGAAAAATCGCCCCCCAGACTATATTTAGGCTATTTTTGAACTATTTTTGAATCTTCCTCCTGTACAGGGACAGGCCCGACTTGACCCCGAGACCACTAAGCACTGGTCCACGGAACAGTGCTTTTTGTCGTCTTGCCTTCGTGCTCCTCTTCGCTCTGTGTCTGCGTGCTGCCTCTGGTGCGA